AGTGTCTGTGTCCATTGGTTATGCTTACATGCAAACAAATCCTTCAGTTGCTCTCTACACCTTCCCCCCACCCTCCCCTGCCTTCCCTCTGAGGTTTGATATTCTGATCAATGCTTCTCTGTCTCTGGATCTGTTTTTGTTCAGCAGTTTATGTTGTTCATTATATTCCACAAATGAGTGAGATCATGTGGTATTTATCTTTCTCTGATTGACTTATTTCACTTAGCATAATGCTCTCCAGTTCCATCCATGTTGATGCAAATGGTAGGAGTTCCTTCCTTTTTACAGCAACAGCAGCGTAGCACTGCATGGTGTAGATGTATCAGTTTTCCACTCATCCACTCATCTGCTGATGGCCACTTAGGGTGTTTCCAAATTTTAGCTATTGAAAACTGTGCTATCATATGTGGGACCTCTTAATGAATTAAATTAATTTATTTTACATGTGATTATTATATAAGCATAAGTTTATTTATTCATCTAAGAGACACTTATTTCTCTGTACTACGCACAGCTATTTTTTTTTTGAAACTCTTTTCTCCTAAAGGAAGAATATTAAAAAAATCTCAGGTAGTAAGTAAGGATTTGACTTATTCTAGATTAATTTAGTCATGACACCTTCCCTGTTTTATGTGTTTTAATTTTGTGCACTTTTCCTGCTCAACTTAAAACAGTACAATACATTAATGGTCAATGCAATATTTAGCATCATACTGCATATTATCCATATGGGCCTCCATTGTGCCTATTATTTTTGAAACGCTATTTTAGGGAAAATGACTCATTATGTACAAAAACTTTGGTCTGTTCCTCTCAAGCATGCATTTGGGGTGTTGTGTGTTGTCATAGCTACATGGTACCTGTGGTTTCTTGGACAGAGAGTTTTGAAAGTGTCTCCTAGTTAGAGCCTTGGGGTACACGGGTAGTGATGTGTGGAAGGAGAGGAGAAGAGACATGTTATTTATGGCTATAGAATGTTTGTTTCCACATGACATTGGCGATCTTCAGGCCCAAGCTGTTAACTCACTTTCCTAAAATTTGGTATTATCAGAATTAGAACCAGTTAGCGTTGGGTATTCAGCTTTCAAGACAAGACTCATCTGTGGCAACACTTTCTGTTGCCTGCACTAATGTTTTAAGGTTTATCGTGATTGTAGAGAGTTTGTAACTCTCAGCTGTTCAAGAATTAGGTAATCATTACCAACACATACCTCAATTATTTTTAAATGAAAAACTTTCATAAATAACAATGAACAATGTCTGAGTTCTTCATTAGAAGCAAACAATATTTTATACACAAGAAACATGCCAGAAAGTCGTTAGCAATACAAAAGCAAATTTACAGTTCTGACTGAAGAAAGTCAAATTAGGGGAAATACTTTGCTTGTTTATTTATTTGTGTATCTTATAACTAGAATCATTAGGACTCATATCAACTTAAAACAATTAAATACATTAATGGTCAATTAATTTCAGGGCTCATATCAACTCTTGGCAGCTTTCGGCAAGCAACTTATTTAGCCATGGTAAGTTAGTGAAGGGTGGCATGAATCTTGAAAAAATTCAATTCATCGAACATTTGTCTAGTACCTATTGCTTGATTCAATGTTAGCACCTGGAATTACAGATGTGAATAACGATGGGGTGGCTAACCTCAAGGGGCTCTGCCTAGTCGAGGAGTCTTACAGGTGAATGAATGTTACCCACCAGCCTGATAAGGGCAACATGAGAAGCTTGGACGATTTGGGGCGGATTTTGACAGGAAGAAGAGTTTTCAGTGATTTCTACTGAATCAGTCTTCACAGTATAAAGATTGAATATTAACCTTCCCATTTTATTTTTTAAATAATTTGATGGCTTTCCAAAGATGAGTATCCCTTCAACCACTTCTGAAACCTGGCCTTTTATTACATAGCTCTTAGGGATTACCTAATTCTTGAATAGCTGAGAGGAAGGATGAGTTGAAGGGTTTTAGATGCTTAGATCTTACAAAGGTAACAGAGTGGGCAGTGACCAAAGAAAGGGATTCCCAATGAACAATAATGGTGTCTCAGATGAACCTAACTGTCTATGATTTCACCGTTGTGCTAAGGGATTCTTAATGAAGAAGTGTTGTTGAGTGACAGAAGGAGATCCCAAATATGGTTCTACTAGTTTAAAAATAATCCTTTATGTCTAATATACTATCCCTGCTGGCTAAAATATTTCTTAATTTTAACTCCTGTTTCTTCTTAAAAACTGAGTTAGAAAGTCTCATTAATGATTCTGGTTATAAAATACACAAACAAATAAACAAGCAAAGTATTTCCCCTAATTTGACTTTCTTCAGTCAGAACTGCAAGTTTGTTTTTGTATTGCTAACGACTTTCTGGCATGTTTCTTGTGTATAAAATATTGTTTGCTTCTAATGAAGAACTCAGACATTGTTCATTGTTATTTATGAAAGTATTTCATTGAAAAAATAATTGAGGTACGTGTTGGTAAACAGTTTCTTATAATACCAAACTTCTCTGGAATATTAATACATAACATCATTTCCTTTAGAAGGTAGAAAAATCTAAGACTTTCAACTGTGAGATATGCTCAATAACAGCTGTTTCCTATAATAGGAGCAATTTGCATGCAGAATAGAGAAAATGAATTATACAAAAGGGTGTATAGAGGAACAGCTATAACTTCTGGCACGTACAGCAACCCACAGAATAAACTTCCTTCAAACGACATTGGCATGATTAATTCCAACAACCTGGACACTGAAATTGCTGTTTTAAAAAGGGGCTCTGCAGCCCGGAAAGGTTGTGGGTATAATGCTAGCCTTCTAGCTGAGGTGCGGTTGCGGATGCTCAGTGCATTCAGTAGCATTACTCCCACCCTCAGTGCTCAGGGTATTTGAATATTCATGACAGGTTGGCAGGTGGTCAGTGGGTGAGGGACCAAGTCACTCTTGTGCTTTTTCATATTTTATTAGAGAAACGTGTAAGGTCAGGTGAGATCCCTCATTACTGATTAACTTTGATGTCAGTTTGGAGAATTGGTTCTAAGGTGGACTGAAGGAGAAAGTCAAATGTTAAAATCCTATAATATCTTCAGCAAACCTCTTTGCAACCACATTTGTACTTGCGGGATGTCTAACCTCTTTTCATGCACATCATCATGGTCGTCTGTAATAAAAATGCTTCACCCTTACATTTTCCTACATATATGGTTTTCTTGCATTTTGATGGCCATGCTTAGAGATGCGTAGATGTTATATTCTCTTTTAAAGTGAAAGGAAATGGAAGTTGTCTGGAAATTTCTTAGTCCAGGGCTGTGGACCGGAGTCTTCTAACCCAAATCCAGGGCTTTCTACTTGCTGCCTCCTTTCTCTTTTTAGCCAAAAAGGTTACATGTTAGATTTCCTGCCTCACTTCCGTCACTACTGAAAACTGTGTGTTCAGGATCTGTGCTGTGTCTTTTCAGTATATCATCCCATTTAATCCTTACACTGTCCAGAAGAGAAACGTGGGGTACAGAGAATTTGAGTCATTTTATAGAGCTTGGCCTGGCTAGTCCGAGGTGGATCCTGGATGGCCACCCAGGCCTGAGCCCTTAACCCTCTTTATGTTTCTGAGGTAAATATTTCCGTCTCTGAGGAATGAAAGGAAATCACAGATGAAATTCCTGAATATATATAGTAATAAGGAACTCTGTTGGGTATCAAACCAGTGGTTCAGACAGTTAATGCTTTGGGAGGGTAAAGGAGAAGAGATGACAGTACTTTGCGGTCAGAAAAGGCCTTGTGAAGAAATTGGGATTGGAACTAGCAGAGGATGCTGAGAATAGCATCAAGGTGTGATGGAAGGAATAACAGGAGGACAGGGCGCAGTTGGGAAATGCTGGGCATATTTGAGGGGAACTGATGCATTTGGATGAACACAGGAGGGGTTTGGTGGGTGAGTAAAGGAAGAAGGCTGACAGCTAGACCAGAGCCCCGTTTCAGAGAGCTTGGGCTTCCAGGGTGTGTGGCCTTGATGTTCAGCATTACGTTTTTACTTTTTTTGTAATATTGCCAAATGCAGCCTTAACTATCAATAGAATGATTCCAGTTGGCTTGTCACTGACTTTGACTTGGTGGAAATTTTAGTGGTTTGAAATTATATTTAGCTTCTTAGGGTGTCTCTCATTTCCCAAGAGCTTACCTAAATAGTCTTGTCTAAGAGCCTTCCTTCATAAGAAACACAAAAGCCGTATTGTTTCTCATATTATTTGTATGATGTGAATAGATTTTAAGTGTTTGTGTGTATACCAGTATTTCAATAAGCATTCATATTTGGGAAAGTCGGAAATAGTAACTTAATGGGCACCAATAACATTGGGAGACTGCGGATTTGGGATTTTTGAAGGAAGGAGGGGGTCCTGCCACTTTTAGGCACAGAAATCAGGATGTCTCAGAAGCAAAGAGTTTAAGGGTGGAGTGATTCACATCAAAGACTAGACATAAGTACCCTGTTTCCCCGAAAATAAGACAGTGTCTTATATTAATTTTTTCTCCCAAAGTTGTGCTAGGTCTTATTTTCAGGGGATGTCTTATCTTTCCATGCACTAGGTCTTATTTTCAGAGGATGTCTTATTTTCGGGGAAACACGGTAGTACTTGCACTAGCAAACTTTCACGCTTTGGGCCAGGAGTAATTTTCCTCAGTTTCCCGAAAGCAGGGCAGAGTGATAACAAGGAAAATAAAGTCATTAATGACCATGGTTGACTGTAATAAGATTTGAATAAATAATTTACATATTTGAATAAGTAATTTGCATATTTTCTTTACATGGAAAAATTATTATAGATTTTAGAGAAGAAATAAAGGGTAGATCAGAGAGGTAGACAGGGGCCTGGAAAAGGGCTGTGAAAATTGAGTATGATCTAGATGGTAGAATGTTTTTGTTTTTGTTTTCTTAAAGGAAGTAAACTATCTCTTGGTCTATTATTCTCATCTCACCTGCTTTCTCTTTTTAATGTTTCAGTGTGCAAAGATCCACCTTACAAAGTAGAAGAATCTGGGTATGCTGGTTTCATTTTGCCAATTGAGGTTTATTTTAAAAACAAGGTATGTAAATCTTTACCCATTAATTTTTCAGTTAAGATCCTTCATTAACCAAATGATATTTAAAATAATTTTAATTCATAAGCCCTTCTATCTCTAGATGATTTAAAAATAAGTTAAATTTGTCTTCGAGGAATTTTAACTATTGTTCCCCTTAATTACAGAGGAAGTAACTAGAAAAAGCTAATTTCAATTATATGAAGTCAGATTATATGAAATTGTTAAATGTTCTTTTTAAGAGAAGAGTAATTTCTATTGAAAAAGATTAATATGTTTTTAAAATAAAAAAGAATAATTATGTTTTTTTCAGTGAAATACACCTTTCCTCATTTCCATATTTCTAGAATTTTTAGACTTACAAAGAATAATATGTTATCTTTAGCTGCTATACTCAGACATGATAGGCATATTACAATTATATCAACTTGAGATATTATGGATTCTGCTGGATTTAAAAGCTCCCAACAGTTAACAAATGTGGCAAAACAGACAGACTATAAAATATTGGACAAATTTCTCAATCTCTGTGGAGATCACTTTTCATATTTATAAAATGGAGATAGTTTAAGAATATCTACCCCATAAGGTTGGCTAGATCCTATAAATACTGTAAGTCCTTTAGATACCATAAAGCTGAGTGTTTAGAATAACACTTCAAATATATGTAAGCACTTAGTAAATGCTATGTTATGTTTAAGGACACTGTTCCCTCCATTTATTCCAAAGTAATCATATCGATAGTTTCTAAAACTTGCCCAAAAGTGAGATAATTCACCCCCACCTCTCCACTCTTTTTTTTTTTTTTTAAGGGACCAAGCTAATAGGATGTCATATTAACCAAGCCAGTGCTCCATAAAGTGTGATCCTTGTATCAGCAACATCAGCATCACCCAAGAAGAGCAGGCTAGAAATGAGATGCTCAGGCTGTATCCTAAATCTCCTGAAGCAGAATTTCCTGGTCCTAGGAGTCTCATATCTGCTAAACTTCTAGGTGATTCTCATGCACAGTGGAGTAGGAGAACCACTGATGAGGCCCTCTCTCACACTCAGTACCTCCCACTGCAACAGTGTCTCCCACTGGCTTTTTCAGTGGGTTGAAGGCCCAGCAAACATCTCTTAATATGATTAAGGGATAATTCACTTTTAATTAAGCTATAAGAAAACTATCCTGACAAACAGGAATGTGTGGTTGATGGGATAAGTTTTGTTTTTCATACTTTTTGTTTCTTTTGCACCCATCTCCTCATGGACTACATTCCTGGTACACCACCTCCCTACAGACCTGCTACCCATACCCCATTAATTATTGTTTTATTTGTTTTGTTTTGTTTTTAATTTATATTTTGGGAGCCTGTTTGACAGTAATCTATTTCTGTGTAGTTAAGTATTTGAATGCTTACTTTGTCCTTGGCAGCCTCTGAGCCATTAAATATATTGCATCATTTAGTAGGTTTATAGGAACTTCTGAGACATAAGTAATATTCCTAGTTTGAAGGAAGGAAACTGAGTCGTTGAAATATTGCATGGCTTGGATATTATTTTATTCATCCTTAGAGTTTACTCAATAAGTGTGTGTGTGTGTGTGTATATATATATATATATATATATCCAGCAATGTTTGTGGTAGCGTTGTTTATAATAGTAAAAAAAACTTATCATTACAAAGAAATACAACTCAGATATTTTAAAATACTGGCTTGAAAAGGCATATTGCTAAGTGAATTAAAGGCAAGTCACAGAAAAATATTAAAGTATGATATATTATGTGCCTGCTAATCTCTATCTACACTGACATAAATTTTATCTATGGAGAGGCTATATCAAATAGTTAAGAATGATTAAATGAAGTCAAGGGAATAGAACTTCTAAAGAGAATTACTGGGTCAGGGTATCATATGCATGTAGTATGTTGATTGATATTGCACAAATGTCTTTCCAAAAGGCTTTGTACTCCAGTTTATAAGGCAGGAAAAAGCCCCCCTCCACCCCTTTAAAACATGGACTGTTTTACAATTTAGAGGAAAACAGGAAAATGAACAGTGATCATAATTCAATGTGATAATTACACCAATAAAGCAATGCTATAGGAGAGATGTCTTCTTTGGAGAGTTAAGCTGACTTTTCAGAGGATTCCATGCTTTCGCTGGGTCTTGAGAATGAGCTTGCATTAGGTGGGCAAGGGAGGGAGGTATCCTGGGAGGGAAGGCATTTGAAGCATGGGGAACACTGTATGTGAAAGGCTGAGGGAATGAGGTGATGCACATTAATGAGGAACTGCAGAGTTACAGCAGGAGAGGGTGCAGTAAGAGAACAAAGGAAATAAGTGCAGGAGAGGTATTATATAACTATGGTGGTTATTCTAACGAAGTGGCGTTTTATCCTGTAGAAAATGATACTTCATTAACGGCTTTTATATCAATGAAAAGATGTAATCTAATTTTTGTATTAGAAAGACCACTCTCTTGTCACTGGGGGAAGTAGAATAGGGTAAGTTCAAAAACAGGGAAGCGATCAGGTGAGGAATGGTGAAGGTCTAAACGAAGGCACTGGTTATGGTAACTGGAGAAAAGGGGATAGATCTGAGAGTTCCTGAGAAGGAGTACTAAACAGAAGGTGGGAGAATTTGATGGTGATAAGTGAGTGAGAAGGAAGACGAGGGAAATGGATGGATTTTGTGTATTTTAACCTTGGCAAGCAATTAGGATTTTTGTTTGCCTGGGAATAGAGTACAGGAGAAAGAGCAGATGAATGTAGCTGCAGTTTAAAAGAATTGCATGGATTTGATGTTGCTGCGGGTCAGCCTAGCGGAGATGGGAATAGACTGTGGAACACACACACGTGGTCAACGTAAAAGCCGGACTAGGGATACGGATGGGGGTGGGGTCACTGTCACCTTGTTGGAACTGACTCCTTATGAATGGGTGTCATCTCTCTGGGGAACTTTGCCAGAAGTTGAAGGCTATGTGTGGGTCAATGAAGAAGGAAGGGAAATGCAGAGAAGGCTGAGAAGGAATGATACTAAGTGTGAGCTCTTAGTCAGGAAAGAATGGCATCCTGATGAAAGAGGTGAGCAGGTTTCATGCGGATTGGTCGTAGAAGTGAAGTGGTCATGAGCTAATGAGTGGAGACTATGGTCTGGGGAAGTTTGGGTGAGGAAGTGGAAATATTGGATTTGTAGGTATATTCTGACCATTTCAAGTGCTCAGACTTTTGAGTCAAAAGAACTGGGTTCGAATCACTTGTCTCATCACGTGTTAGTAGTATAACAAACTCGGGTAAAGAGAAACATTGCTTTGTTTGACTGTGGAACATTTTAATGTATGAAAATACCACCAACACCAGACACATTGCTGGTGAGATTTTAAAATGGTGCAACCACTCTAGAAAACAGTAAGGCAGTTCCTGGAGATGCTAAACATAGAGTTACCAAGTAATAGAGTGACCCAGAAATTTGACTTCTGGGTGTACACTCAGAAGAAATGGAAACACAGGTTCACATAAAGACTTGCACACAAATGCTCACTACAGCATCATTCATGGCCGTCAAAAAGTGGAAATAATCCACGTGTCTGTCCACCAATAAGTGGATAAGAAACTGGTGTACCATTCAACTGAATATCATTTAGCCATTAGAGGAACTAAGCACATATTACACGTCACAACATAGGTGAGCTCTGAAAACATCATGCTAAGAGCAAGAAGCCAGTCACAAAATAATTATATATTGTGTGTATATTTTATGTATGTTCATGTATTTATATGAAATGTCCACAATAGACAACTCCATAAAAAGGGAAGTAGATTAGTGGTGCCTGGGGTAATGGAGAATGACTACTAATGTGTTTTAAGTTTATTTCTGGAGGAAAATGTTCTGAAATTAGACAGTGGTGATAGTTTCATAACTCTATGTATGTATTAAACCCCACTAAACTGTACACTTTAGAAGGGTGAATTTTATGGTTTGTGAATTATTCTCAATAAAGCTATTATTAAAAAAACAGTTGCTATAAAAAGTAAAAAATGGCAAAGCTGTTGGCAAATGAAAAAATTGTAACATTTCATGGAATGGTTAATATCTGTAATGTACAAGGAATTTTCACGTAAATTAATATAACAAATTCTAAGTGCTTTAATTTCTTAATCTGGAAAGCAACTCACCACTGGTCTTAATGAAATAAATGTTAAAGTTTATATTAGTTACTGATTGTTATCCGCAGTCTTTATTTCCCCATGGATGCTAAAGAATCAGTTTGTAGAGAGGTTTAAATGTTTAGCTGACTAAAGTAATGGTTCAAGAGTTGAACTTCAGTATCATGAAATTCTCATTATTATGTTCTCTTGGATATGATGCTATTTTGTTCTTCTAGTTCAGGAAAATGGACCCAAAAGCCAGATTATGAAAGCCCTTATATGACATTCATGTGAGGTTAAATTTTTGTGCTAATGGCAATTGGAAGCTGTTGTAATTTTAATCAAATAGTAAAAATGGATAAGATTTGTTTTATATATAAGGTGTGGCAAAAGTAGGTTAATAGTTGATCATAGAAATTTATAAACATCTTTAAACCTACTTTACCCCCACCCTGTAGATACTGTTGAGGTCTGAATGAAGGACAAATTGAAAATAATCCTAAAGTACCAAGACCTGCTAGAGAAAGGCGTTTGCAGTAGTAGTTAGGGCAGTGAGTACTAGAGATTGACAGTATCAATTGATGCTTATTGGCATTAATTCAATACCAACAGATATCCCTAATTTGTGGTGCAGTGAAGAAGGAAACTGTATTCAGTGCAAAACAGCTCAATAGTGATACAGCACAGCTATGCAAACAGCATGACTGTGAGGCAGCCCCCTTGGGGCGGGGGGAGCAAAAGCGGGGGGGCGGCTGGACCATCTCCCCTTGGACAGCTATGCTCTGCTCCCTGCTGATCTGCTTTGCACTGCTCTGGCCTGCTCCTTTCTGTAGCAGTCCACCCTGGCCTGTGCTGGTCTCCTCCACTTTGCTCCCATGAGACATCTTTGGTGTTTAGCTCAGCCAGGGAAACACAGGCTTCAATCTTTGGTGGAAAGGAAAAGGACATTCACATAGTCATAGGGACCTGACTTATATAGACAGAAGTCCCAGTTGGTCCCTGATTATTCTGTCTTCATACAAGTGAGAACTCTTAAGTCCTTGTAGTTCAACTGACCCAAAAGGCACTTTCCTGATGGGTCAGAATAGAGCAGCTCTGATTGGTTAGGGAAGATGTTGATGGGGCTATAGCTGTGCATCTCCAATGGGATGGGGAAAGCTTCAGTCCTATTGGTTGAAATAGGATTCCAGGAACTCCTTTATAAGGGCTGGCTCAGATGGCAGAAACACAGGGCGGGCAGGCAGTTCAGTGCAGGAGGCAGGCAGCTCAGTGCAGGCTTCTCCTTGAAGTGCAATTTGTGTGAGAGGCCCCTGTGTAGAAATGGCTACGAGGTTGTTTTTTTAAAATTTGAGCCCCGTTAGCCACCAGGAGCCCTTCTTAGTAAGTATCTTCTTTCTCAAAGTCCACGTGATATGGTGTAGAGGGCTTATTAAAAAAATATTTGGGAGAGACAACGGTGGGGGGTGATGGTGGACATGGAGAGGTGGAGTGGGAATGGGAAGTTGTAGCTTCAAGAGTGTCTTAATTTTTCAAGGTGGGTGGCTGTGTTGGTGGTGTCAGACCACTTGAAAGCTTATAGAAAAGATGATGAGTTCATTCTTTTTGTTTTCCCCTAACATAAGAAACTGATTTATTAGATATTTCTCTTTTGCTCTGTTGATAATTTCATGGTAATTTTTCCCTCCCATATTTCTTTGACATTATAGCTGTTAGACATTTTTTTCTGTTTCTTACAGGGAGTTAATCTGTGCTTTCTAAATGGCTATTTATGTCTAACTTTTTCTTTTTCTTTCTTAATTTTTTTGAATCTCTAGGAGGAACCTAAGAAAGTCCGCTTTGATTATGACCTATTCTTGCATCTTGAAGGCCATCCACCAGTGAATCACCTCCGCTGTGAAAAGTTAACTTTCAACAACCCCACAGAGGACTTTCGAAGAAAGTTGCTGAAGGCAGGAGGGGTGAGTGGCATTGTCTTGTGAAAAGCTGTCCAATGAAATACTAGTCGCTAGCTTGCTAAGAAGTATAATCGTGCTTTGAGAGAGGTAAAGGAGATAAAGTGACATGGCTTAGCTGTAGACTCATGGTTTGACATAAAAAGGTAAGCAAAACAATAACAGTTTAAGTAGGTATGAATATGAATTTACATTGTTGATTAGAATAGCCTTATCGTGTGTGCAATTCAAATTTATTGAAACAAAACATTCAAACCAATAAACTATCCTCAATTGAGAAAAGAACAGTATCTGGTTTTTGTTATATTTATAGAAACTTTTGGGTAAAGTTGAAATTCACATTAAAAGTTATATAAAAAGGAATTATTGTTCAAAAATTCATGAATCACATTAATCGAAAAGGTATACTTGTTTGTATTACATATTTGGTTTATTTAAGTACATACTGTTATTTGCTTGAATTACATATAGGTAAAAGATGGATTTTCCTTTTAAAGAAAATAGTAACTAAAGTGTGGTAAATTTTTGTCCACATGATTTGCCTTTTTTTAAAGTGACTTCTTACAAATATAAACATTATGATATATTTGCTTGCGGTTAAGTCAGCTGACAGACAAACACTATTATTGACTGGTCAAAATCTACTTTACAATGCGTACCATTAGGCTCATCAACCTCTAGTTCAGATGAACTTCCTGTGTCATCTTATGTTGGCAGTTTAGATCCCATAAAATGTTGAAATGTGTTCTTTACGCTAGGATTTAATCCACTTTGTTTTTCTGGAAAGTTTTTGATGGTTTTGCACCATGAAATTATCATTGTATGTGAGCATGTGTAGACCGTAACTCCTCAAGATGCCTCATTTCACTGGTAAAATCTACCGGAGGTCTTTGTTTGAAAGAACTGTGTTTTATACAGCACAGAAGTTCCTTCCCTTTATGAGGTTATGGACAACCACTTTGAGAGCTTCAGGCAAGCTGTAGACCCTCTCTTAAGAAAATCACCCATAAATATATTTGTGTGAACATTTTGGATTATATGGAATCCCTGACATCCATTTTTTGGAGTTCTGTTTTGCCAAGCTCCTATACTTTCACTTGAACTACTAATTAAATAAGCATTTGAGGCATTGCAATTACTTTTACCACAATTCAGTTAGCACTATACTATGTTAGTAGCTTTGGAAATGAATCACTGGCTATAGTATTTTATGTGGAAATGCATCTCCATGAAGAAATGGGCTTTAGTAATACAATCCATTTAATTTTTATTTTTTAAAAATTAAATTTATTGGGGTTACATTGGTTAATAAGATTGTATAGGTTTCTAGTGTGTAATTCTATGATATATCATCCGTATATTGCATTGTGTACCCATCACTCGGAGTCAAATCTTCCATCACTATATTTTTGACCCCCCCCCCCCCATGTACATGCCCAGACTCATCTGACTTCAGAAGGTAAGCATGTTGGCCCAGTTATTACTTGGATAGGAGACAACATATTCTAAAGTTAAGAATTTATATATTTATTAAGGAAATGGTGCTTTAAAAAAATAAAAATAGCAACTCTATTATATTCTTTTTATAGTTACCAAGAGCACAGTGTTGATGCTATTTATCTATGTCTATGCCCTTAAAAATGAACTGGTTCATTTTTAAATCCTAGTTCTCATTTTTCCTTTTATGGGGGTGGCATTTTATACTTCTGATAATTCCTCTTGGGTATGCCGTTAGGTAGGTAATTGGAGCATGTGAATTATGGAGCTTGAGTACACCAGGCTTCTGATAAGGGTCGTAGGAAAAAGTAAATATGACATGAGAACTTTTTAAAACAACCACTTAGACCCAGGGTACTCAAGGGTTGCTTGTGAGCTGGAGAAGAGGTTACAGGTCATTGATAATGCAGTGGAGTGTAGCACTGCCTCCTGATAAGGTCCCCAGTAGATTTCTGTCTTTTACTCGACTCAGCCTTTATCTCAGAATTATCTTCCCTGACTTCCAACTTTCCTTCTTTGTGTTTCTTTAAGTGCTGTTTGAAGCCTGCAGGGTTTTTTCCCATTAGACTTAGATTACGTCTTGACAACTATAGCATAATAAGCTGATATGTGACATATTCAAGCACACCAGTTATTTGGCAAAATTTTTTAAGGGACTGATCCCAGTGAATTTTATGGTAAAATTTAAATTAAAAAAATCATTTGAAATGGAAGTAATTTTATAGATTTTTATTATTTTATTTAGTCTTTTAGGGAAATGTGAAACAAACATTTTTTTTTTTTTTTGTCTTACCTAGATTTTTGGCTAACTTGTATTATTTTTATCAGATATTTAAACGGTTATCATTGTCTTAGTATTAATGAAGCCTATCATTGTGTCACTGACTTATGAACCGCTTTTGATTCTATTAGAAATATTTTTCAGATTTATTAAGGTACTAGAGGCTCGATGCATGAAATTCGTGCAAGAGTACCGTTTTGTCTGGCATATAAGACGACCCCCTAATTTTACAGTTAAAACATAGGTTTAGGCCTATATTCGCTGTATAAGACTACCCCCCCCCCCCCCACACACTTCCAAGGCAACACCAGTTCTTTTTTTAATAGACCGCCTCTCTGACTCTGGCCAATCTGAGCAGGCTTTTTACTAGAACACAGTGTAGCTTCGGGTACAGAACATGTACACTGTTCTAGTAAAAAGCCTGCTCAGATTGGCCAGAGTCAGAGAGGCGGTCTATTAAAAAAAGAACTGGTGTTGCCTCGGAAGTGGGGGGTAGTCTTATACAGCGAATATAGGCCTAAACCTATGTCTTAACTGTAAAATTAGGGGGTCGTCTTATACGCCGGAAAATACGGTAGGCCCTCACAGCCCCAGCTGTCTCGTGCCCCTACCTCCACCTCCTCCCCTCCCGCCCCCGCCCCGGTCATTCTGGAAGGTTATTCTGCCGTCCTGTCTCATTAGCATATTAGCTCTTTATTATATAGGATAATTGATGTATAACATTGTGTAAGTTTAAGGTATATAGTGTGTTGATTTGATACACTTAATATATTACAAAATCATTACCACAATAGTATTAGCTAATATCTCCATCATGTCACATAATTTCCCTTTCTTTTTTATGGTGAGAATATTTAAGATATACTCTCTTTGCAAAGTTCAAGTATGTAATTCAGTAGTATAAATTATAATCTCCATGTAGTACATTAGATTCCCATAACTAAATTATCTAAAATTGTACCCCCCCCCCTTTTCCTTCATCCCTTGGTAACTACCATTCTAGTCTCTGTTTCTATGAGTTCAGCTTTTTTGAAAAAAAACAAAAACAAAACACAATTCCAAATATAAGTGATATCTATGTTGTCCCAAATAGCCGGATGTCCTTTTTCTCATGGCTGAATAACATTTAATTATTTACATTCACTCACCATCCCCACACACATCTTTATCTGTTCATCTGCTGATGGACATTTAGGTTATTTCCATATCTTGGGTAAACAATACTGCAGTGAACACAGAGGCACATATCTCTTTGATGTCCTGCTTTTATTTCCTTTGGCTATATACCCAGAGGTGGGATTGCTGGGTCATATTGTAGCTCTATTTAAAATTTTTTTTTAAGGAAAATTGTTTCCATATTGTTTCCCATAGTGTCATGCACCAATATACAACCCCACCAACAATATCCAAGGGTTCCCTTTTCTCCACATCCTCAGGACCACTTACTGTCTTTTTGATAACAACCATTCTAACAGGTGTGAGGTGATATCTTATTGTGGTTTTGATTTGCCTTTCTCTGATCATTAGTAATGTTGATGTACCTGTAGGCCATCTGTAGGCTTTCTTTCAAAAAAATGACTATTCAGTTCCTCTGTCCATTTTAAAATCACATTGGGTTGTGGGCTTTTTTGTTGTTGAGTTACATGAATTCTTTATATATTTTGGATATTAATCTCTAATCAGATATTTGACTTGCAAATATTTTCTCTCATTTCATAGTTTGCCTTTCCATTTTGTTGATGATTTCCTTTGCTATACAGAGCTTTTTAGTTTGATGTAGTTCTCAGGTTTTGTTTTTGCTTTTTCTGCCTTTGATTTTGATGTCTATCAGAAATCTTGCTTCATGGCTGTGTCTCTTCAGAAAGAGCCTTTTTCCCCACTGGGTTTTGGGATGAGAAAGTGGAGGGTGGGCTGTGTTTCTTATACCTAACCATTGAATCTATGACATTGATCTGTATATATTCTACCTTTAATGGAAAAATTAATCCTTATGAATTTTGTGAAATTATTATGTACAGCGTGAGGCATACATACAGTAAACTTATTCTTTTGTTTATGGCCTTTTCTCTTGCACCTTGTTCTTATAAACCAAAAATAAAGAGCACTATATTTTCAAGAGATCAGGAAGGTTGTTTATAGAGCTGGCATATCTTAGAAAAATGTTCAGCTCTTAGAGAAAAAAAAAAAAGATTCCAAAGAACATTTTGTTAGAAGAATCTTGAAAAATTGCAGGTTTTTTTTCTAGTTCATAATCTATAAACCTGTAGGTAAATGACAACCTTTTGGGGGGGTGTGTATCAATAACATTCCCTTCTTTTCACTGAATTTTTTAAAAAATGTTGCAACCTTTTCTAAAGAGTTTCAGAGAAATCTTGGCGTACTTCTTCCATGGAAAAAATGGATCCTGTTTTCTTCTATTGAACAACTCCCTAAATTAAGGCTATCTTTGCTTGAAAAGAAAAACGTCTGTGGGAAGGGCACATTTGGATTTAAGCACTATTTTCTGAGAATATTGAAATGCCGAATGATTTCATTTACAAAACCCTGAAGGTAGCCTCTCTCTAGGAGAGACCTTATTGGAGCTTGCCAGGGAAGGTGTAGATTTGGCTTAGGACCGAGCTCCACTTAAGTCTAAAGCAAGAAAAAGATAGGAAGTAGGGGTCAGGAAGAGAACCACCTGAGAGCTGCTGGGGGGAGACTGCCTTTATTTTGAGATCCTATTTTTTGG